CACGCCTCGGCACGATGCGCTGTCCGTTTCCCGGTCCCCTGGCGTCACTGTCTCGAGCCTTGCCCGGCCTCCCGCCCCGCGGAGTGGAGCAGCACGCTATCTGCTTGCAAGGCCCAGCGTGTCGCCGGGGCCGCCGCCGCGGCACGCCGAGCAACCTCCCGACCGTAGTCCCGTGAGCGGATCGGCCCAGAACGTCAGTGATGCGGCTAGGCTGCCCCCTCTGACGATTGAGCTCCACCGCGCGGACCTCCGCACGTTTCCGTCGATGCCGTCTCTGCTCTTGCAGATCCGCCCGGCAGACCGCAGCAGGGGGCCGGCGAGGGTCGGCGGCGTCCTCGGAGCAGAGGGGCCGGCGACGGCTTCGTTCCGCAGGTCTTCGGAGGTGTCGCGGAGGCTGCCGGAAGGGTTCGTTGGACCAGGTTGCTCTCCCTGGCTTAGCGCAGAGGCCCCCCCCCCCTTGGCCCGACTGGAGGCCCCCCTAGCTCGACCCGAGGCGCCCCAGCAGCCGTTGAAGCCACCCTTCTTGAGCCAGACCTTCGCGCCGTTCCCGAGTCTCGCAGGGGCGCCTCGCCGCCGAGGAGAACGACGGGCGAGCGAGAGGGCCCTGCGCCACACGGCGCGCGCGCGCAGGGGACCAAGAGGCTCTCGCAGGCCCCCTTCGCAGCCGCTCCGGGCCGCCGCCGCCAGATCCCAGTCGCGCGCCTACAGGAATGGTCAAAAATGGCGAAAAAATACTCGTGGCACGATTTCTTCTTCATAGAAAAACCAATGTTTGACAATTTTGGAATATGTTTTGGCTGCTCTTCATTTTTCCTCCCAGATCCGCCTGCAGGAGGACATGCCCGACCTAGCCCTCGGGGCGGCGGCAGCCAGCTTGGCGACCGCGGCCCGGAACGCAGGCCAGGCTGGCCGCCCCTCCCTCCCCCCATCCCGCGCGGGCGGGTCTGACCTTCATTGGGTCGGGGGTGGGGCCAGGCGGGCGGCTCTCGACGGGGAGGCAGAGGTTGCCGCTCGCCCTCGCAGGCTGGAGAGCGGGCGGCCGGACATGTCCCTTCCTCTTCTCACTTTCTCCTTCGCCCCCTCCCGTCCCTGACGTCGTGCTTCGCTGGAGGGAGTAGCGACGGTACCGTCGGCACCCCTGGCCAGCATTTCTATGGCTCAGTATCCTAATGCTAGCCTGCAGTGATCTAGCATTCGCATAGCATGTTTCGTACTTGTCAATCTCTGACTGTTTCGGGAAGGTCGTCACGTTGTGGCGCACTACATGTCAGCGAGCCGTGCGTAAACGGGGTGGCTACTCCCAGCCCGCCTCGGGGGGCAAGTGGACAGTACCTGCTGGCATGCCCCAATCTCGCGCGGACGACGCTGCATGTTTGCATGTTCCTGCGCGTTTCCACCAAGCAGAGCCCCGTAAGTGAGCGAACACTTCGGGGTCGCTCTCGTTTGCAACGGTTCACGTGCGCTTCGTGGGGAAGGGGGCGCACCGTGGTGCTCTTAGCACGTACTTTGCAGAGATTGCCGGAAGCACGACTGGCAGGAACAGCCTTCTCCATTCTACTGGCCTGTGACCCCCCTTGCGCGACGGGAGTGAGCGGGACTTCGTGTGCTTTCGTCACCCTTGCGTCCGCTGTCTTGCTGCCTCTGCCTCCCCCTCTCCCTCTCGCTCCCTCTCCCTCCTCCTTCTCCCCCACCTCCTCCCCCTCCTCCCTCGCCTCCTCCCCATTTCCCCCCACTCCTCCCCCTCCTCTCAGGCAGGCCGCGGGCGCGAGCGCGAAGCGGCAGTCGGCCGAGCGACAATCGGCCCGCCCCTCCGCGCCCACGTGAGACACCAGGCGAGGGGAGCAGCACGATGAACGAGATGCAGTGGTCCACGACGGTGCCCAGGGGGAAGAGAACAGACCTCCTCCTCCTCCTCCTTCTCCTCCTCCTCCGCCTGCTCCCCCTCACTCCTCCTCCTCCTGCTGCTCCTCCTCCTCCTCCCCTCCTCCTCCTCCTCCTCCTCCTCTTCCTGCCTCCCCTCCCGCCTCCTCTTTCTCCTCCTCCATCCTCCTCCTCCTCCTCCCTCTCTCCTCCTCCTCCTCACCTCCCTCCTCCTCCTCCCCCTGCCTCCCCTCCTCCCCTCCTCCTCCTCCTCCTCCTCCTCCTCCTCCTCCTCCTCCTCTCCCATCCCTCCTGCTCCTTCTCCTTCTCCTCCTCCTCCTCCTCCTCCTCCTCCTCCTCCTCCTCCTCCTCCTCTCCTCCTCCTCCTCCCCCGCCTCCCCTCCTCCTCCTCCTCCTCCTCCTCCTCCTCTCCTCCTCCTCCTCCTCCTCCTTCTCCTCCTCCTCCTCTCCTCCTCCTCCTCCCCTCTTGGCTCCTCCTCCTCCTCCTCCTCCTCCTCCTCCCATCCTCCTCCTCCCTCCACCTCCTCCCTCCTGTTCCCCCCCCTCCCCTCCCCCCTCCCCGCCCATCCTCCACCTCCCTCCCTCCTCCTCCTTCCCCTTCCCCTCCTGCCTCCTCCTACCCCCTCCTCTTCCTTCCTAGGCCCCTTGTTCCTCCTCCTCCTCCTCCTCCTGCTCTCCTCCTCCTCCTCCTCCTCCTCCTCCTCCTCCCTTTACCAACCCTCCTCTCCCCCCATCCACCTCTCCCTCTGCCCCTCCCCGCCCCCTCGCCGCAGGACGTCTGCGCCCACGTCTTCCTGTCGTGGGTGTGGCCCCAGCTGCGCACGATGCAGGACCGCTGGCAGCAGCACGAGCTCGGCGAGCGCGTGATCAGCGAGGCGGAGCGCGTCGAGCTGACGGAGTGGTCGTGCCGCTCGGACCCAGTCGGTCAGTGGCGGGCGAGCTGAGGCAGCGGTGCTTGGGCCTCCAGGCCACGGCCAGACGCAGCTCGGAGAACCTGTGCGCCCGGACCGGAGGGATGGGGTCCGGGGACCGACCTGGAGCTGCCGTTGTCTCAGCTCGCCCTGCTCCGAGGAAGGTCGTCGGCGGAGGGAGGGCGCGGGGCCGAGGGAGGAAGAGAGAGAGAGAGAGAGTGAGAGAGAGAAGGCGAGAGACATCGGGCCGGGAAGAGCGGGATGGGCAAGCGATGCTGGAGGTGCTCTTGGTTCAGGCCCCCTTGCAGGGCAGGGGGCTGGAATCGACCCCCGGAGATGATGGGCGCACGATCTAGTTTTCGACAGGCGATGGCACGTACGTGTATGAGCTAGTGCAAGCCCGTGGGCTGCTGAGAATCGTCGTGACGCTCCCGTGTCTGCACCTTCCGAGAGACTCTGCGTTCGTGTTGGAAACTGCATCACCCTAGTGCCCCGCCGACGCGCCCAGTAGGGTCTCGCCCGCCGTCGTTGTCGTCACCGCCGCCGCCGTCGTGTTCTCCGTCATCGTTGTCGTGTTCGCCGTCGCGCTCTTAGCCGTCGTCGTCGTCGTCGTCGTCGTCGTCGTCGTCGTCGTCGTCGTCGGCGTCGGCGTCGGCGTCGGCGTCGGCGTCGGCGTCGGCGTCGGCGTCGGCGTCGGCGTCGGCGTCGTCGTCGTCGGCCGGGGCAGCGCGTGCGCGCGGGAGGGAACCAACAGCGCTCGCGGCGCGCTGGGGGACCGCGCGCGGGGACAGCGCGAGGGCTCGGGGCCCCCCGCGGGGCCCCAGCTCCGGCCGAGACCGGCGCGCCCCCCCGGGGTCGGGAACCCAGGAGGAGGGGGAGGAGGGGGAGGAGGGGGAGGAGGAGGAGGAGGAGGAGGAGAGAGGAGGAGGAGGAGGAGGAGGAGGAGGAGGAGGAGGAGGAGGAGGAGGAGGAGGAGGACGTTCGTGCCTGTGGCGTTGTTTGTTTCCGGTGGAGGCCGGCGGGAGTACTTCCCGCCGGCGCCCGCACGTTTTCGCACCCGTCGCCAGGGCAGGCTTCGGGGGAGCGGGCGCGGAGGGCCAGCAGGGAGCATCCCCATCGCTTGGCATTAAGTCGGGCCTGTCTCTCTGCAGGAGTAACTTTCAAAAACGATCAAAAGACAGTCTGGGGGCGACTTGTCGACTGTTTTTGAACATGTTTGAACATGTTTTCACTACTTTGGATTTTTCGTCCAACATCCGCCTGTAGGAGGACACGCCCGACCCCAAACATGCATACATCTCTCCGCCGCCGGGGGCGCCTGCCCCAGGGCGGATGGAAAGTTTGTACCCTTCGGGTGGCACGTCGGGGTACACACTTCCCAGCCCCCGTCGGGCAGGCGTCCCTGGCGGCGGAGCAGTTTGTTCTATACCGTTTGTCGTCGGCTGGCTCGCGGGAATGCCGTCCCCCATCACCGTCGCGCCCGCCACGCTGGTGGCCGGTGCCTTGTCTGCCGCAGCTCGGGCCGCGGAGGCCTGCCTCGGGGTGAAGAGAGGTGTGTGTGTGTGTGTCGTTTGCCCGAGCGCCTCCCAGGCTCGCGCTCGGAAGCAGGCAGCGGCCATGGTGGGGGCCAAGTCTTTTCCTTCATGCATCCACCATCTCGCACCGGTCACTGCCGTATCTCGAGGGGCGTGGTCGGGAGGGGCAGAGCAGGCAGATGTGGTGCGTGGTCGTGTCCATGCCCAGTCGGGTCGGGTGTAGTATGGCCTCAAATTTGGCACTGCGGTCCAGTGCGCTGGTCTTTGAGGTCGCCTCGGCCTCATCGCCGTTGGGGCAGTGGAAATGGTAAACTCGTCCTTCATACACTGACGCACTCCATAACGCATGGACACAATATATGCCTGAAATGAGTTCGTCTACATGGCGTCATCTCCATCCCGATTCACACTCAGATTCACGATGAAGAAATTTGGCCGCACGGCACAAGTGGGTGTGAGTTTGACCTTTTACACGTCCAGTCTGATTCAAGTAAAGCACATCGTAGTTGTATACGAATCTGTCTGACCACCCAGAGAGATCTACGTGGCTTGGTTGTGAGATGCTCTCTTTCTGTTTCACCCACATGCTGTTTCAGCGCATTCCTGGATCTTGTAGACATTATGTTGCTTCGCATGCCGCCTCACGTATTTTAAACTTGTTACATAGTTTTGCTTCACTCCGTAGCGTTACGACGTCGCGATCTGGCATGTACGCCGTCGACACTCCTATAGCCGTAGCAGCCCGCTCTACTGCGCAGCGCGGTTTCTGGGCTGAGGGCGACGGGGCGTGGGAGGGGGAACGGAGGAAGGGAGACGGGGGGGGTGGGAGGGGAGGGGGAAGGCAGACGAAGGGGAGGGTCCGGGGACCCCCGTATTCGATTTTTTTTTTTGGTTGTTGTCTTTTATATTTTGCTGCTTTCACAGCGTGGGCCCCGACGGGTCTCGACCCTGGCTGGCCCCGAAGACCAGACCAGCTTCTCCCTCCGAGCAGCGCCAGCTTTCCGACGGCTCCGGGGCTTGGTAAAGGGGCCCCCACAGAGGCTGAGAACATGATCCCCAAACCAGCCGTCGCGGTTTCTCGAGCCAGCGCGAGGAGGTCTGCCGAGGGGAGTGGCTGGGGATCAGAGGCAACCTTAGGAGGAGGAGGAGGAGGAGGAGGAGGAGGAGGAGGAGGAGGAGGAGGAGGAGGAGGAGGAGGAGGGAGGAGGAGGAGGAGGAGGAGGAGGAGGAGGAGGAGGAGGAGGAGGAGGAGGAGTAGGAGGAGGAGGAGGAGGAGGGGGGGGGATAGGTCCATGGGGAGGCCGCATCGACCCCCAACCTCGCCCACTCATCGCCGCTGGGGGTCCGACAGCGCACCCCGCCAGGGAACGTGCGGATTCGCCATCTGGGGCCTATCTCCGTCGTATCGGCGATGTGTCGCCGCTTCCAGGTCGACGTTTCCTCCCCCAGTCCTCCGCTGCCGCTCCTCCTCAGAGGCGTGGCCTGGGAGGGGCCCCGGGTCGCCAGGTCCGTGGTGCTGCGCAGGGTCCTGCCGCTGCTGCTGACGGCCCTGGGGCAGGCGCGGGCCTCGGCGGGCTCACGGGCTGCCCGGCGCTGGCGCGCAGGCGCGCGCCCCGCTGGTGCGGCGGACCGGCCTGCATCTCACCGCCGACCAAACCACCCTAACCCAACCCGAAGGCCCCGATTTGCCCTGCATTTCTGGTGCGGGGGGGGTTCGGGGAACGTTGAGAAAACCCATATGGAACCCGTACCCCCCCCAACCCGAAATTCGGGTGGAATTCGGGTCTTCGGGTTGGGTTGGGGTGCTCTGGTAGGTAGTCAGCATCGGGGCCCTCCCGGACAAAGTCACGACGGAGGGTTTTGGGCAGACGTCGGCCTCCGGGGGCCCCTGCCATGCCCATGGCCTGGAGCGGCTCTGGCTGGGAGAGGCCGGTCCTGGCGCAGGGCTCCACACCTCGCGGGGCCCACGCGGTGCAGAAATCACGACGCCAGGGGTCCGAGCACCTTTGCGCCCCCCGCCCCGCGCAGGATCCCCTGGGGTGTCGGGGAGCGGGGGGCCGCTCGGCCGCGTTCCGCCGCGCAGGGGCTCTGGTCCGCTCCCGCTCGAGAGTCCGTCCTGTAGCTGGTCGGGCGGGCGCCACCACGGCCGACGACGACGGCGACGGCTTTGCGACGACGACGGCGACGGCGATGACGGCGGCGGCGGCCGTTGCGACGGCGACGGCGACGGCGACGGCGACGACGACGACTTGGCCGACTTGGTCGACATGGATGATCGTCGACGGCGACGACGACGACGACGACTTGGTCGACTTGGTCGACTTGGATGATCGGCGACGGCGACGACGACTTGGCCGACTTGGTCGACTTGGATGATGGCCGACTTGGCCCCAGGGTCGCTCACATCACACCCGGCGCCCCTCGCGAAGAGTCGGCGCGAGTTCTCTCTTTTCCCTCCCCGCTGGGGGCTCTCTCCGGTCTTACACCGCCGATGGAGTCGCCAGGAGCCATCGAAGCAGCGGCAGGTTGGATCGCTTTGTGGAAGCCCGCTTCTGTCCGAGACCCTTCGACAGATCGGTCATCCTTTTGGCGTCGCGGCCACGCGTGCGGCGGCGCGGCGTAGACATTCGAGCGGGAGCGAGCGCGCGCCTGGGCCAGCTCACACGGCGGGGGGACCAGGGATCCGCCCATTGGGGATTGACCGGGTCACTCGCATGGGGACGCGCGGGGATTGGGGGGGGGGGGGAGGGGGCGAGGGGCGGCAGGCGGAGGTGGAGTGCAGATTGATCGTGCGCAGTGAGACCGCCGAGCGGCAGCAAGCCCTGACATCCGACTTCGACTGTTGTTTCTTTGGTTTCACTCCGCGGCCCTGTGAGGCCCCGACCCGCTCCCTGGGGGACGGATCCTTTTCGGATGGCCAGGACCAGGACCAGGACCAGGACGAGGACGAGGACGAGGACGAGGACCCGTGGACCAGGACCAGGACCAGGACGAGGACGAGGACCAGGACCAGGACGAGGACCCGTGGACCAGGACCAGGACGAGGACCCTATGAGGGCCCGACCCGTGGACCAGGACCAGGACGAGAACGAGGACGAGGACCCGGACGACGAGGTCCTTCTGTGCTTCGCGCCTGGAGCCTTTCCACAGGGCAGGAAGCCGGAACCGCCCAAATACACTGAGACCGCGTGTGCGTCGCCTCGACAGGGGCGACGCGCGCGTCGAGCAATCTCATGGTACACACACATACTTATGTATTTATTTATTTATGTGATTCGTTAATTAACCTATGAGGTATTATGCATTATTTATGTATCTATTTATTGATATATGGATTTATTTGTTTATTTTATTACTCCTCTTCCTATATTTCCCAACCATCCTGTGGTGTTGGGTCCTCGTTTTGAAGAGACGGTGCCCCGCGTCTCCTCCTCCTCTCCTCCTCCGCCTCCTCTCCCCTCCTATCATCATCATCATCATCATCATCAGCATCATCATCATCATCATCATCATCATCATCATCATCATCATCATCATCATCATCATCATCATCATCATCATCATCATCATCATCATCATCATCATCATCATCATCATCATCATCATCATCATCATCATCATCATCATCATCATCATCATCATCATCATCGTCATCATCATCATCATCATCATCATCATCATCATCGTCATTGTCATCGTCGTCATCGTCATCGTCATCACCCACTTCGGCACACCCCTCACACGTTTCGTGGCCCCATAGGGAGCTCCACCGAAGGCCCCAGGCTGCCGTCCGCATGCGTCCCGCACACCCATTTCGGCACACCCCTCACACGTTTCGTGGCCCCATAGGGAGCTCCACCGAAGGCCCCAGTGCTGCCGTCCGCATGCGTCCCGCACTCCCATTTCGGCACACCCCTCACACGTTTCGTGGCCCCATAGGGAGCTCCACCGAAGGCCCCATGGCTGCCGTCCGCATGCGTCCCGCACACCCATTTCGGCACACCCCTCACACGTTTCGTGGCCCCACAGGGAGCTCCACCGAAGGCCCCAGTGCTGCCGTCCGCATGCGTCCCGCACACCCATTTCGGCACACCCCTCACACGTTTCGTGGCCCCATAGGGAGCTCCACCGAAGGCCCCATGGCTGCCGTCCGCATGCGTCCCGCACACCCATTTCGGCACACCCCTCACACGTTTCGTGGCCCCACAGGGAGCTCCACCGAAGGCCCCAGTGCTGCCGTCCGCATGCGTCCCGCACACCCATTTCGGCACACCCCTCACACGTTTCGTGGCCCCATAGGGAGCTCCACCGAAGGCCCCATGGCTGCCGTCCGCATGCGTCCCGCACACCCATTTCGGCACACCCCTCACACGTTTCGTGGCCCCATAGGGAGCTCCACCGAAGGCCCCAGTGCTGCCGTCCGCATGCGTCCCGCACACCCATTTCGGCACACCCCTCACACGTTTCGTGGCCCCATAGGGAGCTCCACCGAATGCCCCATGGATGCCGTCCGCATGCGTCCCGCACACCCATTTCGGCACACCCCTCACACGTTTCGTGGCCCCACAGGGAGCTCCACCGAAGGCCCCAGTGCTGCCGTCCGCATGCGTCCCGCACACCCATTTCGGCACACCCCTCACACGTTTCGTGGCCCCATAGGGAGCTCCACCGAAGGCCCCATGGCTGCCGTCCGCATGCGTCCCGCACACCCATTTCGGCACACCCCTCACACGTTTCGTGGCCCCACAGGGAGCTCCACCGAAGGCCCCAGTGCTGCCGTCCGCATGCGTCCCGCACACCCATTTCGGCACACCCCTCACACGTTTCGTGGCCCCATAGGGAGCTCCACCGAAGGCCCCATGGCTGCCGTCCGCATGCGTCCCGCACACCCATTTCGGCACACCCCTCACACGTTTCGTGGCCCCACAGGGAGCTCCACCGAAGGCCCCAGTGCTGCCGTCCGCATGCGTCCCGCACACACCATTTCGGCACACACGTTCCTCACACGTTTCGTGCGTCCCGCACACCCATTTCGGCAGGTGGCCCCATAGGGAGCTCCACCGAAGGCCCCATGGCTGCCGTCCGCATGCGTCCCGCACACCCATTTCGGCACACCCCTCACACGTTTCGTGGCCCCACAGGGAGCTCCACCGAAGGCCCCAGTGCTGCCGTCCGCATGCGTCCCGCACACCAGGTGTGTGGCGTGCCGACATGGGCGTCGCGGCGCGCGGGCGCTGCCGTCGGGGTTCCCAGGGAAGCCCCCTGCAGAGGCGACGCTCAGAGTCACGAGTACCGAGAGTCACGCAGACCCAAACTGTTCACAGTCGTATACATACATTTACACTGGGCGTATCCATGCACGCATTCATGCGAATAGAATCAATCGCGCGCAGATTCGTTCATAATCAGACTCGCTCGCGATCCGACTCGCACGCGCTCAAGCTTTCATATTCGGACCTGTCGTCTTCGTTCGTGTTGTGTACACTGCCACGCATTTCGGCACACCCCTCATACGGCTCGTGGCCCCATAGGGAGCGCCACCGAAGAAGATATTCACAATTGCGGTACTCTCAACTGCATATGGTTGGGTCCTTCGCCAGGCTAATTTTATAAGCCCGGGCGGGGGGACTCCCCCCTTCCCCAAAACCGGACTCCTGGGATCTGGGGCTTTGGGACCCTCCGGACGGGCCTCCAAGCGACACCTCCGGCCTCGCAAGGCGTGGTGCGCTCCCGAAACGACCCCAGAGAGCCCCAATACGGTCCACGACGACCCCCAAGAAGCCGTCATACCCCCAAAGATCGTCCCGAAACGTCCCAAGAGGCCTCCAAGAGCACTCGCAAGAAGGCCCCAAGAGGCACAAATCATTGATTTTTGTTGGTTTTTGGTGAATTTTGGGGTTCTCCTCTTTTCGGCTTCCCGACGCTTCAAGACGGCGGTCTTCTGGGCGTCCGAAGCCGCCTGGGAGGCTCCAAAAACGCCCCACAACCATCCGAAAGGACTTCCAGGCAGTCCAAGAGAGCCCCAAAACGGCACAACAGGGGTCCAAGATGGCCCTCGGAGAGCCCCATGGCGGCCCAAGATGGCCCCAAGGCACCCTCCGAAGCATTCCAAATCGTGACCCGGTCGTTTAAGGAGACCGCGGTTGGAGGGAGGGTGGCCTGAGGAAGCCCCCAGAGGCCCCCAGAACACGCCCAGGAGGCCTCCAGAAGGCCTTCAGAAAGCTTGAAACAACTTTAGTGAGGCCCCCAGAGGCTCTCCAAGGAGGAACTTCTGCAAAAGAGCTGAGAAGGATGGGGAGAATGCGCAGGGCATGGCGAAAATGAGGAAGAAGAAGCATAGAGGAAGGATAACGAATAACATTATTATAGCGGCGATGCCGGAAAAGGCAACAAGGAGTTATCGCGAAATTGTCGGCTTGACCTTCATGCTAGTCCGCCTGCATACCAAACTTCAAGGACCAAGGTTCATGGCGCGAAGCGCCACTGCAGTCCTGTGTATATATATGTATATATATGTATGTATCTGTATTTGTACATGTATATGTATATGTATATGTA